GGAATGATAGAATTAAAATAAACTCGCATAAAAATCAAATCAAAGTTTGAATACAAACAGAGAACCACAACTTGGGATATGAGGATCTTTTATAAGTTTATGTTCCCTTGGACCCTTCCCACCTGAGTTGGCCTAAAACAATGAAATAGCACGTTGAGTGTTTTAAACACGTTTATTATTATGAGATTTAACCTTCATCAACTTCAAATGAGCCTATATAATCTGAATGACTAATTGAATATTATATTTTATTTAATGCATTTTTGTATATTATTTATTGCAACTTACTGTAAAACGTCTAAGGCTATGTTTACTAAATCTAGCTGATAAGCTAACTAATAGCCCATAAGTTAGTTTGTAACTTTTAACTAAATTTCGAGTTCATATGTGATAGATTAGGACTTATGACTGAAAAGCTAATTTATATCAAGTGTTTGATAAAATTAACTGATAAACTTGTTGAATAAAAATTTCAACGGGCATATGACTATGTTTGGTAAAACTAGTTGATAAACCAGCTGATAGATTATAAGTGATTTTTGAATTTATAACTCATACCTTATAACTTACAGTTGAAAGACAGTTTATATGATAAAAATATTCGGTAAAATTAGCCGATAAGCTAGCTGAAATAAAAATTTCAACAAGGTTATTTAAAAAGCTATCAAAAGAGAAGATTATGAGATAAATTCGAACTTTTTTAAAAAAAAAAATCCGTCCTAGCAAACGAAACTTATTTCAATGCAAGAAGCTTATATAAGGTAAGCAAATAAGTTGTAAGTTATCTTATTTGGTTACCAAACATAAGCAAGTTGAATCGATTCGTGATAGTTTAATTGCAAAATACTTATGTTATAAAATATCTTACTTGTATTTATGTTATTATTTGGAGTACGATATTTCAGTTTAATTATTTATATTTGTTGAAAAAATATAAATGAATTTGCCTCATTGATTATTTATAAATCAATCAACATTTGTAAAACTACACGATATTTGCCAAATGTGAGATGACATTTGACTAAACAAAAGAATGGAAAAAGTCCATTTTTATACTCAAGGTTTGTGTGCTATTTATTTTCGTACTTCATGATTTCACTTGATCAATTTTAGGGCCCGATGGTTTGCTTGTTAATAGATTTGTGCTTCATTCATTAATCAAACAGTTAAAAAGAGGGGGTGATGGGATATGAATTCAACTAGTAAAAAATTAGTTTTTTTTTAATTATAGTTAAATTTGAAAAAAAATAGTATGGTTAGTTGTTAGTGGATGTATTAAAATAATATTTAAATTAAAATAATTAAAGTTGATTTGATATAAAAGTAGGAGAAAATGATTGGAAGTGATGGTTAGTTAAAATTATGTGAGTGAGTGAATAGTAAATTAAAGTTGATGTAATGTGTAATAATGATTGGTTGATATTATTTAATTATATTAATAATATTGAAGATAGTGGAGTTGAGTTAAAGTTGAGTTAAATTTGAGTTTTGAATTGAATATTTACTGCACAAATCATATACAACCACGCCCTAAAGCCGGAGTAAAAAGAAAAACACTCTAAACTTGATTGGAAATCGTAGAGTGATGTGAATGCAAATCATTTTTTTTAGATGATGAAACTCAAGCCTTAATTACAGAAAATTATGAAATCAAAATTTAAAATCATAAAGGGATATTGTAAATAATAATAATAATAATAATAATTTAAATGTAGCTTTTGATCAATTTTTAAATAATTGTATCAAAAATATTTAATCGAAAACACTAAATTAACAACAAAGTGGGTAAAGTGTTAACTAAGGGTCGTTTGAAATTTTCGAGTGACATTTTTCAGACTTTTTGACATTTGAAACTTTATAAGATTTTGTTAAGAGTAATTTGTGAAATGGTGGGATTTACTGTGAGATTTCCTATATATATATACATATATATTTATTTTTTGAAATGCCAACAAATCTTAAAAAGTCTAAACAAATAATAATATCACATATGTTAAATATATTCAAAGATTGTTTAAAATTCCGAATTAAAAACATAAGAAAGTCTAAACTAAATAGAGCATGAGGTCGAATTTTAAAAAGTCTAGAAATTCGAAATGAATGCACCTCTATAAATCTATTTTCCTTTTATTTATTTATTTTATTAAGATAGTTGAAATACAGTGGACTCTAAATTAATAAATGCTTCTATTATCTGCCTATCTATATATATATATATAAATAAATAAATAAATAAAGAAAGAAAGAAAAGTAAAGTAGAGCATCTGTTTTATTGCTTCTAGTTTTCCACTTCAATCTTCGAGCTCTGGTCACTGTATATCTGACCGGAGGGAAAATCCTGTAAACGCCCGGGCATGGGTTGCGCTGGATCGCGTGATAAACCTGATGGTATCGATTTCCCCTTTTGTTTTCGGCTTTTTTGTTTGGAATTTGTTGTGGTTAATGATCCGTCAATGTATTGTTGTCGTGCATTTCATCTTAGGGTTGATCGGCTTTTTTCCCCCTTTATATGGAACTGTGATTTTTAGTTTCGTATGTTATCGTCTGAATTTGTTCTGATGATTTTGGTTATGAATGTGGTGTGCTTTCTGAAAGAGCTTTTTTACGTTGTATATAAATTAAGAATCTTGATGTGTGTAGGCTTCTTTTTAATCTATCCCGTTTGATTGTTTGTGTGAATTTATCCATGTAAAATATTTGGTGACGGCTATAAAGAATTATGAATTTTGTTCTTATGTTTTCCTCTGACTTTGTTCAAATGATTTTGGTTATGAATGTGGTATGGTTTTGAATGAGCTTTTGACATTGTATGTAAATTAAGAATCTTGATTTCTGTAGACTTGTTTTTAATCTAAACCGTTTTCTTGTTTGGGTGAATTCTGTGTAAGATATTTGACTATGCAAACAATGTTTTTTTTATTCCCTTCATTTTTTCTGAATTGGAATTCAGACAAGATTGTTAAGGTTTTGGATGTGGCTAGTTATTCTCTAAGCTGCTGCTGGCAAATGAAATATTAATTGTAGCTAAAAGTTGAAACTCACTTGTTAGTACTAAGATAGGCAAATTTTTGGGTTGAATTTCCTTTTCACTTCTCGTTATATTGCCACGTGCATTAGAGATTTTACATTGATTCCTACCAATGTTGGTATGAATCTAAGCAACATAATTTTATGAAAACGAATGAAAAGGAAGATTAGTTGCACGAGCCTGTTCATTAAACATCTCAACAGATGAGAAGATTTATAAATTCAAATAGATATGCAACTCGTGTACCTGACGCCCCAGATGACTTCTCGTGCAGAATTTTCGAGACACTAGTAACTTATTGTTCTGCTAATCAGTTCTAATCTATTTTGTTAGGTTTTGTCTTTGCCGATTTACACTTTTTCTCGAGATGTTAAATGTAATGCATTTTGGTCGAGTCTATTTTTTTGCACTTCTTATTCCTCATTGTTTGTAGAAGTTTTGATCATCAATGATTTAAGGGAAAAAAAAAAAATAGTTCCGATGGTAGGAAAAAGATCAATTGATATCCGTGAGTTGATGCTCTTCCTTTCTCTGTGTTCAAAACCGAGCTTTCCATTCTGGAACTATCTCGCTCTAAGATCTTATATTCTTCTTATCTGAACCAGAAACTCCGAAGAAGATACGAAAACCCAAGCCATGGAAGCATACAGAAGCAATAACTCGAGCACAACTAACCCAAATGCGTGAAGAGTTTTGGGACACTGCCCCACATTATGGCGGTAGGAAAGGTAAATAATGCACATGATAATTACTTAATTTTCTACAATATTGCAACTATAGCTCGGTTATGGATCTTGAAATTAAGTTGAATATGAGGATTTGAGTAACAGATTTTTTAATATCTAGCTGATTATTCAAATAATCGATAAACTTTAAAAAAAGGAAATTAATTTTCTGCATTTAGAATATTTTTCTTATTCTTTTTATTTGTCATTAGAAATCTGGGATGCTCTTCGAGCAGCAGTGGAGGCAGATTTGAGTCTTGCGCAGGCAATCGTGGACAGTGCTGGTGTTATCGTTCAAAATCCCGATTTGACCATCTCTTATGATGAGAGAGGTCTGTGAGTTGTGACCAATTATATTTTTCTCTGTAATGAATTTGATTGCATATTTAATTTTTATTTTTATTTTTTTCAATTTCGATATCTTTTTCACAGGGGCCAAGTATGAGTTGCCGAAATATGTTCTGAGCGAGCCCACAAATCTGATCCGTGACAGTTGAGAAGAAGGGAGAGTAGAAAATAAGGGAACTTGGTACATTGTGTAAATTGGTCTCGTTTATGATTTTTGTTTCTTAATTCGTCTGATTTGTGCCCAACTCTATAAAACTGTAGCATACTAGCATGAAGCTCGTCACGCATAATACTATCGTTTGATGTTTGACAGGAACCAACTTAATGTGCATTTGTTGAAAAAGAAAAAAAGAAAAAAAAAAAAAGAACTTGGAATTCATTGCAGAAGAATGAGTAGTGTGATTTGGAAAACTGTGGTATGGTTATTTAATGAGATTTTGAGTTTATGTAAGTAATATTTAAAATAAAATAATTAAAGTTTATTTAATGTAAAAGTAGGAGAAAGATGATGTGAATTGATGGTTAGTTAAAATTATTTGAGTGGATGAATAGTGAATCAAAATTGATGTGATGTATAAAAATAAGTGATTGTATTATTTAATTATATTGATAATATTAATATTAGTAGATTGGTTAAATTTTAGTTAAATTTTGAGTATGGATTGAATTTATTTGTATTCAAGTATACCCTAGTTATGTACTATTTATTATTCATTCCCAACTAGTTGTTGTGTTTGTTTTATTTTTGGGTTTTAGGTTAGCAAAAAACAATCTTCAAGCACTTTTGTTTAATTAAAATTTTTGGTTTTGTTTGGAGTTTTTGTTTTGGTTTTGTTAATTTTGAAAAATGTGGTATGGTTAGTTGTTAGTGGGTATATTAAAATAATATTTATAATAAAATAATTAAAATTGAGTTGATGTAAAAGTAGGAGAGAGAGAGATTTGAAGTGATAGTTAGTTAAAATAATGTGAGTGGATGAATAGTGAATTAAGGCTGATGTAGTGTATATGAATGATTGATTGATATTATTTAATTATATTGATAATTTTGATAATAGTGGAGTTGAGTTAAAAAAAATGTTTGGGGTTAAAATGTTGGAATTTTTTTTAAAAATTTCATAAACAAACATGCTCGAAATTCCTCCAGATGTGACCTAAACTTAAACTCAGTCTCAGTAAATGCTATTTGGCTATGAGAAAATAAACCAGAATTGAATAATTATTTTACCTATGAACATACATTAGGTTGTTTTGTATACAAATATATCCGCTCAAAACGAGTTTTTTTAGTTAACCAGAGTAAATTTTAGAAAAAAATGGTATGGTTAGTTATTTTAATTTTATATTAAAATACTATTTAAAATAAAATAATTAAAGTAAATTTGATATAAAAGTATGAGAGATACGATATAAAGTGATGGTTAGTTAAAATTATGTGAGCGGATGAATAATGAATTAAAGTTAATGTTATATATAAAAATGATTGGTTGATATAATTTAATTATATTAATAATATTGATGATAGTAGGGTTGAGTTAAAGTTGAGTTAGATTTTGAGTATGAATTGAATTTATTCAATATACAAGCACACCCTTACTTGAGTGCAATTTATGCAGCTGGAGGCACAAACTAAACTAGGAAAAAATTAAACGAATCTGAAAACAAAATTGTAGACTTGTGTTTGAACAAAAATCATATGTTCAAAGTGAAATGATATATTTAAAAAAGAAATGGAAAAATGATTATTTAAAATGTGTGGAATTGTTTGAAGTAAAGTATAATCTATTGTTTGCAAGATAAATGAAATTTTGGTCAAAACCTAATTCTTGTTTGATACATCAAATGGTAGGTATCAGGTTTTAGCAACGCGTTTGTTAGTTAATGATAGCCAACCAAATTGTTTCAATAAATTTACATATTTTTATACTTATGTCATATTTTTTAAAATTAATATAAATCAGCGTATGCCATTTTACGAGCATCAAATTTCTCTCCAAAACTGGCATAATATGTTCCTTGCCGAATTTCTCTTCAGATTAGAATATATTCCTTAGCAGATTTTGAATGATTCTCAACCATTTGAAATATATGAAGAGTTTTTTTTTTTTTTATATATATATTAAGGATTGACGCATCATGCGCGAATTTTTTCTTTTTCTTTAGACATTTTGCTATTATTACAATTTAATCTAAAAATAATATGTACTCGTAAAATGTTGACACATAATATATGAAATTGACATTTGTGATATTTCGATCTTCCACACTTACGTGGTCGGCTGCTTTGAATTTTAGAAAGGGATGACGCATGCTGAAGACGAATCTTTTGTTTTGTTTTACTTAGTTGAGCAGATACAGAGTAACAGGGCCTGAAGGGGCACGTAAAGAATAAATAAATAAACAATTCATAAAACTCAACATTGATTGTTAATCTTAATGCTATGTAGTTAGAAATAGGTAAAGAATAAATAAATAAATAAATTCATAAAAACCAAAATTGATTGTTAATGTTATGTAGTTAGAAATAGGTAAAGAATAAATAAATAAATTCATAAAAACCAAAATTGATTGTTAATGTTATGTAGTTAGAAATAGGTGTCAGGCGTGTTAATGAATGGAGTATTAGTTTTTGTTAATAATATGTTTGATAATAATTCGGTCCCTTGTAATCATCAACACGGTATTTGTTATTCCACGATTTTATTTATTTATTTATTTATTTTTTATGTTATGAAGTCGAACACCGTGAATCTAGTTCAACTCTCGTTAGTCGTTACCCACTTACCCGTGAAGGACGTACACGTACGATTGACTGACCAATAAAAATGAAATTAGATGGCAATATTTTAATGATAAGTGAGACACAATATGCTAATTCAAGATCTATGAAAATAAAATGGCTGTTAATTAATCACAATTTATATGAGTACAACATGAGATTATGTGATTAAATATAAATTCTTTCATCCAAGTATTTAATGTTGAATTGTTGATATAAAAGTTAATTTTAGTCCATTTTAACGATTTTGCTATGAAGCCAACAGTTGACTCCATAATAGAGCCAAGTTTGTATAAAATGTACCTTAACATTGAGCCAAATTGAAATTCTTTAATTTCACTTAAATATTAATTTTTATTATATACAAATATATGTAATGTTTTTACAAAATCAAAATTTCCATGCTAAGATTATCTACCAACAAAAAAATAAAAAACATGTTAGAAATTTCGGAAGTACGTCTCCATGCTATAAATAATTTTCTATTGAGTAGAGGTTAATTAACAAAGTCAAAAGAGACATAATAATTAAGTCCTAATTTCAACTTCGGTTTGTTGCCAGCTTTGATTGCTCTAATAAAAGCAGTACATACTAAATACTCACTTTGTCTACTTTCGGTCACTTTTACGTATTTTCATTTTATTTTCCCTATAAATCACTCGAAAATCTATTGCTACATATCTACTCCACCCCTTTTACTTTATCTGTCACATTTTTTTTAAAAAGTAATAGCTAAATTTTAATTTTTAAATTTATTTTCTGCTGATTTTTATTAATCATAATTAATTTTAAAAAAATTAATATGTTAGTGTTAATAGTATTTTGAGTTTATGTTTTAGTAATATTTAAAAAAAAATAATCAAACTTTATTTGGTGAGAGATGATATGAAGTGATAGTTAGTTAAAAACTTAAAAATTATATGAGTGCATGAATAGTGATTAAAGTTGATGTAACGTGCGACTATGACATGAACACTTGTCGCCATTTTATTGGCTCAAAATTTGATTGTCTACAAGGTTATTTTTCAAATTTTAAAAATTAAATTTAGCTATTTTTTAACATTTCAATTACTAAAGATGTGTTTGTTTACTCAATTCATATTCAAAATCTAACTCAACTCTAATACAATCTCACTATCCTCAATATTATTAATATAATTAAATAATATCAATCAATCATTCTTATTCTTGCAATTTAATAATTTTTTAATTTTTTAGGAAATTAATCATATTTTAATTCTTAAAATAAATAGTTAATTAATTGATTATTTAATATATATTGTTGGCCAATTAAAGAATGCCACATGTATATATTGAAGGTCAATTAAAGAATGTCACATGTCATTTTCTTGGAGAGTAAACTGATTACTCTTTTAGTAATTATTAAAGAAATAAATATTGAAAATTCATGGACCAATCAAATGAAGTCTTCTTTTCCAAGACTCTCTCTTCTAACACCTATTAAATAGGGGCTCACCCTAAGGCCAAAAATCACAATTCATATTCATAATTCAAATTTCGAGTTCAAAAACTCTAGAGAATTCTCTCAATGAGATTCAAGTGCTCTTGAAGATCCGAAAGAAGATTTAAGCGCATTCAAGCTCAAAACCCACGTTCAATCCGGAAACAAGCTGCCAAGCCTATGAATTGCGTTATTAAAGTCAAGACCGACATAGAGAAGATCAAAATCAACTTTGCGGCGAAGACCAAAGACTCGTGTTCTTCACATTCTTGGGAATCACGAAGTTCGATTCGAGATCAAGTTTTCAAGCCCTCAAAGAAACGTTATTTAAATCTAAATTCAAGACCGGCGGAGATCAAACTGAAGATTCGTCTCCAAAAGTCTCTTATCCACTTGAAGATTGTTCTTGAAGAAATTAATCAGAAGAATAATAAAGATTTAGAATCCACTATATTTCGTTTGATCTATTGAAAATCAATTTATACGAATTTCTCGTGTTTATTAATTCTATAATACGAAATTTTGCATTACAAACCTCACAAACTATTTTTCTTAGTATGTTCGGGAAGTATACAAGACGTCACACGAAACAAAATGGAAGAAGTAATCTTCATTCATTCCATCTCAAAACTATATTCTCATTTTATATTTTCTATTAGGTTAAAAAGGTGCGATTAATCAATAATTCAAAAAGTACTTAAGATTATCATGACTGCCTAAATTACACAACTTTTATTATTGACTTACCTTAAAAGCTATAAGTTATCTCATCGGATAAATTAAAAAACAAATTTGGACGTAATAAAAGTGAAGCTTGCGGGAAAAGTGGGTTGTGTAACATGTAACTGGGACAAGTGAAAGTGTTGATGATAATATGTACAGTTTTAAAATTATATGATTACTAGTATTGAAAATAAAATGAGGTAAATGTATTTATTATTTTATTCAACTATATTGATTGTTTGATTAAATAGATACTCAATTCTAAGTATTATATTAATCTATATTGCAACAGTTAAATGCCACTATTTTCGTGAGAGTGAAAAACTTCTACTTGTGCATGTAGGGGTACTACAAAATAAAATATCTACAAAAAT